TGAAAAACATTTAACACTTTATCTGGGAGACATTTTAAATATCCAAAATAAATAAACAAAGCAACACAACCAAAAAAATTTATTAATTATAAAGTTTTTTTCATGAAAATTTCTGAGCTTAATCTTAAAAATTCTGGATTTTTTTTTCTAGCAAATTTTAAGTTCCAGTTTTTCCCAGAAAATTTCAGAATCATTCTCAAAATTTGTGGAGTTTTTCTAGCAAGTGTTTGACTTTTAAAGATCAGAAATATCTGAAATTTTTAGGGAAAATTGACTATAATCTCAAAATGTCTTAGTTTCTCCTGGCAAGTTTTCAATTTTTCAAGCTCAGAAATCTTCAATTTCTTTCCAGAAAATTTATGATGCTAATCTTAAAATTTCTGAGTTTTATCTAGCTTTTTTTTTTTTTTTTTTACTGTTAAAACTCAGAAGTTTCTGAGTTTTTCCTAGAAAAACTATGATTCCAATCTAAATTTTCTGTTTCCCAGCCGGCTCTGGTGAAATGCGCTACCAGATGAAATCTGTAACCTGTGAAGTGATTTCTGCCTCCGGTGGCGTCTCTTCTGATCCGGCTGTCTGTCAGCCTGATTTATTAAATTCATAAAGCAGGAAATAGACGCCCGGCTCTTCACGGTGCCGTCCGTGAATCAATTACTCCGTCTCCTCTGGTTTTCTGTGGATAAATGAGCTGCTGATATCTCAGAGACAAAGCGCTACATTTCCATGTTGATGTAATGAAAAAATGTAATAAAAATCTGCCTTTTCAGCAGCAAACCGGCGCTTTGCTGTGAAGCAGCAGCAGCTGCTTTCATTGAGTTAGTGGAGCTGAGGCTAAATAAACAGGGCATGAAGGGAAAGTGAGTGGGAGGAAGAAACCTGCTCTTTACAGGGAAACGCGCCCTGGGGTGACCGATGTTACAGCTAGGCGACATAAAAATGAAGATCTGCTCTCTGAGGGTTTTTCATCTGTTGAACTCTCCATGAAAAGGCAGATTTAGTCGCACGGCTGCAGCTGATTCGTTTTTTAGTCACTTTTATTTCAATAAAAGCAGCTCTGCTTCATTTTCCTCTGTGGGGAGAAATGGAGAGCAGACGCTTCAGATTTCCTTCATTTACGTCTCTGTCCTTTTCTCCCTTTGGCCAAAAATCACCCAACATGAAAGGGTTCTTAAAATTACTTCATTGTCAATTATTTATGAATTATTTCTCTGCAAAAATTAAAAATATTACCAAATATTTTGTTTAGTTTCTACAGGAAATATCTTAGTTCACTTGAAAAAAGATAAAACTAACAAATAACTTTTCAGAGAGATAAAGAAGCTTAATAATTAGTTAACTTTGATGACAAATATTTGCACATGCATATTATTTCCCCTTTAAATGGGAATAATGTTATGATGAAATAATCTGCCACTGGAAGCAGAATTTTTTCATCAATATTAAGTTGTTTTTTTTCATAAAAAAGTTACTTGTATGTTAGTTTTGTCTCACTTGAAGGAAAACAAAACGATAATCACCCAGCAGAAACAAAAAAAACTTGGTAAGATTTTGTGTTTTTATGTGTGTTTATCTGTGCAACAATAAGCAATATTTTGATCAAATCAACATTAGCATAACATTTGTTTTAATGTTCACAGTTATTTAACATTTAAAAAATATATATATTTTTTGCTGTTTTAGTCTATAAACTGTTTTCAGCAACAAAAATGAGAATTTTCTTGGTAAAAAGTCGCTGAATGTTTGTGATAATTAAAAAAACACTAATAAACTGAAAAGTCTTACTGTTGTACTTAACACGAATGTCCATGCGTGTGGACATTCGTGTCCTCCACGCATTTGTGGAGGACACACGAACTCATTCTTAGGGCCACAAAAGGCCCCTGGGCCACACGTTGGACACCCACAGCTTTAAAAGACGTTTAAATGTCTGGTAAATGAGCAGGAAAAGCAGCGTTTCCCTAAAACTCCCAGGAGGAAAGTCAACATTTTCAGAGCCGCCTCTGCTGACAGGAGATGAAAACTGAAAACACAGCAGCTGGAGTTTAAACCCAGTTCTCAGAGCCTACAGACTCTTGGTTGGTTATTTTTCTGCTGTAACGGCGAATCCTGGCAATAAATCTTTAAAACCGTCAGAAAGCCGGCTGAGAGTGTGGGCTGAGGCCATGAAAACATGCAAAATCACACACACACACACACACACGCACGCACGCACACACACACACACGCACGCACACACGCACGCGCGCGCGCGCGCGCACTCACACACACACACACACACACACACACACACACACACACACACAGCAGTGATTATCCAATGGGAAGCTTTTACCAATTAGTTTTCCTTGTTGCTGATTGGCTGAACCCGAAGAGGCGACCAGGAAGACTGAAGACTTTAGCTCCTCGCTCGGTAGAGGTGCTAACGTTCGTATTAATGCAAATTAAGGTATTTTTGGTGTTTGAACTTTTAAAATAATCAGCTATTAGCATTTTTTACTGGATCCAAAATCCTTGTTTATACAGGGGAGCCACTATATTTTACATGTAAGTGTTAGAAAATGTAAATGTTCCTAATTTCGAGCAGTAATCATTGAAAAGTTGTCTTTGTTTGTCATCTGGAAAATGATTTTTCTGCTCCTTGTCCAGCTACTGACTGGCTGTTTAGCATATTCTCCACATTACACTGACAAAACACCTTCAAGTGAAATAATTGTCTGAAATAATGAAATAAAATTTCCCTCCTCTTGCCTCATCCTAATCTGTCACGTCCCTCTGAACTGTCCTCTGCTGTATTGAAAGCGTTGCATCAGAATGAATTTCTGATTTTAAGTTACAGTTATTGAGAAAAGTGAGAACATTTTCCCTGATGGATTTTCTGCTGCTGAACTAATCGAGTGTGCGACCCTGCTGGGGAGGTGCAGGTGTTCAGCTTGTCGCCTGCGGCTCTTCCTCCATCAGCTCACTGCTGTCTGAGTCCCAGCCTTCAGTTCACAAAGGAAAACAAAGCAGTGGAAGGAAAATGCTTGGAAGGACGGGTTGCCCCGGTAAACAGGCGCTCGTTTGGCTTACAGGAGGAATGGAGAACAATAAACTTAACAAACAGTTCACATTCACACTTCTCTGAATGTTTTATAAGTAAATACTTCAACAGGATTTAAATTCAAAACACTGTAATACATACACTACACCAGCAGGGGGTGAAAATGGCAACAGTAACAGTGTTTTCATACCTGATAGTTTGGTAAATTCAGTTCGATTGGGGAACAAAACCGCAAACGTTACATTTTCAGCCACTTTGAATCAAACTAACAAAAACCTCTGAGTAGCCTGTTCCCCTCCTCGCCTGTGGGGGCGCTGCACCAAGAAGCACTGAAGGAAACGACACAAAAACCTCAGAAAAAGACATGCAGCTTCCTTCTTCAACACTTGGAAACACAAATGGAGTGCCGTCAGATTTTAGTCTTTGTAGGATTTCTATTTTGTTGTTGGTAAAAAACAATGAGTCATGTCTGTTGCTAGTGCTATGCTAACGCATTTGGTTTGGTTGTGTTTACCCAGAATGCCCTGTGCTGTAGTCCGCTTCCTTTTGAACAGAACCAGAGTTCACTTCAACCGAACCCAGACCGAGGTTTGTTGGTGGACCAGAGTTAGCTCAGCATTCACCATTCACCAACTGAACCGGACTCTGGTTCGGTTCGGATGAATATGTGAACGCCAAGCTGACAGCACAACGCTCTAAAATCAGGAAGTGAATAATAGTGCAGGGCATTCTGGGTAAACACAAGCAAAACCTGCTAAAATTTAACACTTTTGCCTAATCTAGCGCTAGCGACGCCACACTAACCCTGATTTATTCCTCATCAGAAACTGCAGTTTACCAAAAAATAAAAATAAAAAAGAAGCTGTAGTTTTTACAGTTTCTTATTTTTGTTCAAATGTATGCACACAGAAGGACCGAGAGAAATAAAGAAAAAACACCCAGAGAGTTTTCTAAAACTGATCCGACTGGCTGCTCGGTCAGCTGAAGCTGAACGAAATCCTTAATATCAGGAGACATGACCAACGCAGTTTTATCAGCTCAGCCGCAGACGCTCTCTCCCTTCACCTGAAACCCGATCTCTGTTTACAAAGCAGAGAAACACAAGCCATCTAAATATTGATTGGTTCACAGGCTGAATTTCTGCCTCCAAATGGATTCTGTCAACACACTGTTTGTTTTGCTGCCTGAAAGGCAAATTAATTGACTTTCACACCTTCACACAGGTCTATTATGGAAAACCTTTCCTCAAAATTCTTCTGTTTTCTTCGGCTTTCCTTCAAACTCCTTTACAACACTGAGTAAATAAAACACTGTCGTGTTCACAGCAAGGTTGAATGGACTGTTCTCAACTAAAACAATGACTGCAGTCCACATAGAAAACAATATGTAGATGCTACAGGCGGACAGAGTGCCGAAAACGGTACTCAACTAAGAGAAGCACAACTTCTACATGTTTCTACTGAAGTAAAAGTAAAAAGTAGTAAGAAAGTACTCAAGTAAGAGTAAAAAATATTTGGTAAAAAGTACTAAATGGTCAAATTATCAATCGTTTAATATTTATAAATTACATCATCAGATGGACCAAAATATAAAGTTAAGTGGAAATTTTGGTATTTTAATGACAATAATGACAATAATTCATATAAGTAGCAAAAACTAATAAAATCAGGCAAAATATTTTTTTCCAAATCGGTTTCTTTCAATAAAAAACATATAAAACATATAAACATATAAAACATATAAAACTTTAACAGGTGTGAGTCTGTCTGCTGAGTTTTTGGTTAAAACATGTTTGTTATTTATTCAGTGGGTAGAAAATGCAGAAATTTTACTTAAATAAGAGTAGAAATACCTTCTAATATCCAAATATCCTTTTAATGTTTGACTCTACTGTGAACAACACCCATTTCCTACTAAAACAATAAAATTAGGCGACTTTCCTTGTTTGGTTTTGGTTTAATTTTGGCCCTTGTGACACAAAGTGCTACCTCTCTGTTTTATTTGTTTTTTGTGTGATTCTGAGTTCATTTCAAGCTGCAGCCTCAGATCTCAGTGAGTCAGTGAGCGACCTGAGGAGCTGAACTCTGTGTCAGCGCCACGCCTCGACGCTGCTGCACCGAAAGCGAAGGACTCACTGCGGGTCTCTGGGCTGCGTCTCTAACTCTGGAGCTGCTCCACATCGACGGGCTGCAGAAACACAAACCAGAGGGAAACATTTACTTCTCATGTTGTTTGCAGCAGATAGATGAATATTTTTCATATGATGTTACCAGGAGTTTGCTTTTTGGAGCACAAAAAAACCGGTAGCCATAAATTCAAGATGGCGGACATTTGTAAAGATAGTCATTAAGGAAAACTTTTCTTTTCTTTTTTTTTTTTTTTACTAAATTTACCTAAATTTACCAGATAAATGCTTTTGGGGTCAAATCAAACACATTTTGACAAATAAAAATCATGTTTACTGATTATTTGTTATTTCTGTCAAAATCTTTGTCTCCCTTTTCTGGTGGACTTTTTCAAAATGGCCGCCATGGTTGCAAGGGAGAATATATGTTTCAGCAACAGTTATTGCCAGTGGTGACAACAGATAACCAAAACATTAAGTTAACTAACCACTAATTTTATGAACAAGAATCTTAGCTATGCTAACATTAACTCTATAACATATATAAAAATCAGCAGGCGCTAACACTAAACTGTTAAACACATTTTAAAAAATGTTGCTAAGCTAACCATAGCTAGTAAGACAATTGTATGTTGGCTAATGCTAAATGGCTAAACACATAAAAGCAC